CCGTACATACTGAAAAATGCAAATTCTCAGTACCTTTAAACAAATGGCATGACATCGTGAGGCCTAGAAGCCCTAAACCTATTTACTTAATTCCACAAATGTAAACTAACCAAACTGCTCTCTTCAAAATAAGGATACCCTTATACCCATATTTCCCTTTCAAATAATATGGTTTCCAAACAAATTTAATTGGTTTGTTTAGTAAAGTTTCCATTTACCAATTCTCCTGTCAGTTCAACAATGTGGTTTCCTTTAAAATTTACAGCATTCTTTTTGTTCCAAACTCTGGTACCTTTTACTTTCATTCAGTTTTTGATGTATCACCCAAAAATATTTTCTACACTACTATTCTACCAATGTCACGTAACCACAAGGCCAACAATCAATACCTCCTTTTCAACTCCATCTTTCTTTTATCTGATTCAATGAAAAAGCTGCAGTATCTATACTAAATCAAACAATGATATATTTTTGTGTACTTGTTCAGAAAAAGAGCTGTCATTCAAAAATTTCCAGAATATTTCTAATATTCTTCTTTGAAGTTGGTTATTAACAGTTATTTTGTTTCAGCACGCCTTTGTCAGTTTATAGGACTAACACTCAAGAATGATAACTTTAAAACTGCCAACAATATTCAATGTTTAAGTAAATTATAGTAGTCATAAGATGAAATATTATAGTCATTAAAAATAATCAGATTATTCAAGTGACACCAAAAAAATGTCCAAACAGAAGTCCAGCAGGACTCAGTGCAATTCTAAATTTGTTTAAAATAAAAAACACAAGGCAAATTATACATCATATTCACACAAAAAAACTTTAGAAGAAAAACCTTCAAAATATCAACAGTGACTAACCCTGAATGATTATTTTCCCTTTTTATGCTTTCTATAAAATTATACGTTTTCTATAGTAGACACAATGCTTTTATAAAGAAGAAAATGATAAATGGGTATTTTCATAAAAGAACTGTGGCCTATCAAAAGAAAGGGTACTAAAAGCCATCAAGAGTACTCATTTCAGTTACAGGTAGAAATTAAGGTGTACTGGGTACCAGTTAACACCCTACTAGGGTAATAAAATGTCTCACTGCTCTTAGAGCTTCCACTAAGAAGAATCAATTCAAGGCCACCATCTAAAAGAAAGAATAAACAGAATTTTAACTGCTTTGGGTTATATACATCAAAATGAAAGGCTAGGTTCTATTTTTCCAATATAGAAATAATGGACATGAGCAATTTTAAATTGCTGCATAAATATGGAGGGAAGAAAGACCTGAAGTACAACACAAAGATTTCTTATTTGTTCAATAAGTGCAATTCTTAATAAATAAATTTGAATAAAACTTATATTAAAATGCCTATGTGACCATAAATTGTTTGAAGTGTTAATTTTCTTCTTCATGATATCTGGAAGGAACAAAGATAGCAGATATATAACGAATGCAATTTAAATAAGTATCTGTAACTCCCCACAGCATTCAAACACTTTCATATTTATTATCTCATGTCTTTCATATAAAATATCTCATGATATCTCATACATATTGATAGCAATCAGAAACAAGCCATGTTTGATAATCGCTTTTGAACATAATTCATAATTTTAGGTAATAACATTTGGAGATAATAATAAAAATAATGAGTCTTTTTCATTTTTATTTATTTACTTGGAGATAGAGAAAGGGGGGTGGGGGCTTGGGGAGAGGGCAGAGGGAAAGGGAGAAAGAGAATCTTAAGCAAGCTCCATGCCCAGTGTGAAGCCCGACATGGGGCTCGATCTTAGGACCCTGAGATCATGACTTGATCCGAAATTAAGGGTCAGTTGCTTAACCAACTGAACCACCCAGGCACCCTAAGAAGACTTTTTAAAAAATGAGGATATTTTAAAAAGTATAACAGTAAAAGGGACAAGATAGTAAAAGTTTATCAGAAAATAGTAATCATTTTTCTACAACTAATTTATGTCAAAAAACAAAACCACTTATGTAGCTTTCATCTATATGTCATATAACACAGACTTTAAAAAATCCTAACAGGCCACTGGCCTTTTATGTATCACTTATTCATTGAACCCTAACTTACTGAACAGAAACATGCAGCATGAAAAGACAAAGGACAACCATGCTCAACAGTAAGAAAACAAACAACCCAGTTAAAAAATGGACAAAAGATCTGAACAGGCACCACACCAAAGAAGATATACAGATGGCAAACAAGCTTATGAAAAGATGTTCCACATCATATGTCATTAGGGAATAGTAAACTAAAACAACATTGAGACAGGACTACATACTTAATAGAATGGCTAAACTCCAAAAACCTGATAATACCAAATAGCAGCAAGGATGTAGAACAAGAGGAACTTTTATTCATTGCTGTTGAGAATGCAAAATGCTACATCCACTCTGGAAGACAGTCTGGCAACTTCCTACAAAGCTAAGCGTAGTCTTACCATATGATCTAGCAATGGTACTCCTAGGTTTACATCCAATTAGTTGAAAATTTACATACACACAAAAACCTGAGCACAAATAGCAGCTTCATTCATAACTGCCAATAACTGGAAGCAACAAAGATGTCCTTCAAAAAGTAAATGGATAAAATGGCACATCCATACCATAGAATAATATCCAGTGATAAAAAGAAATGAATTATCAAGCCACAAAAAGACATGGAGGAACCTTAAATGCATACTGCTTAGTGAAAAAAGCCAGTCTGAAAAAGCTACTTATTGTGTGATTCCAATTATATGGTATTTGGGGAAAGGCAAAACTACAGGAGCAGAAAGAATGGTGGCTGCCAGGCTTGCCAGAATAATAATAATAGTAGAGCCCAGAGGATTTTTAGGGCAGTAAGACTGTTCTATATGATACCATAATGGTGGATACAGGACATTATGCATTTGTCAAAACTCATAGAACTGTACAATACTAAGAGTGAACAGTAATGTGAACTATGGATTTTAATTAATAATAATGTATCAATATTAGTTCATCAACTGTAACAAGTACACTACATTAATGTAAGATGGTAATGAAGGGAAACCACAAGCTGGGGTAAGGGTGTATATGGGAACTCTGTACTATCTGTTCAATTTTCTGGAAACCTAAAACTATTCTAAAGAGACTGTTGTTCTACAATCTAAAAAGATTGTTTTAAAAGATAAGTTGTTTGGGGAAAAGAATTTTTCATTACTGTCGTTGTTAAAGTATAGGATTCTGAGAAAAGATGGGAGGGCCTTGTAAATACTTAAGGGCAAGATTTCAAAAGGTTTTTGTATGTTGCACTAAGAACTTTATACCGAATCTTATGATGTATGGGGAGTCATTAAATGTGAGTGACATAATAAGATCCAGGTTTTAGAAAGATAACTCTTGGTGAGGACACTGTTTTAGAGTGTGAGACTTAAAGAAATCCAGGAAAGCATTTAGGAAGCTATTACAATGTTAACAGTGATAGCAATAAAAATAACAATTTTTACTGTGTCCTTTTTATTACCAAGGACTTTGTGTGTATTATCTCAATTAAATCTTAGTAGGCCCTATTATCACTACCACATTATAAATGAGAAAATAAGGTACAGTGAGATTAAGCATCTCAAAGTTACATGAGCAAAGATATGCAGATAAGGAGCATGGCTCCACAAGGGGCTATACATGTTTCAGAATTACAGAGGTTTGGGTGTCAAAGGTTGAACGACAAGAGATGTTGAAGGCTATAGCTAGATAAACACATTCTACATTATGATAACAAGGATTTCTTTTTGATTTATAAGCTACAAATACCATGTTCTTCTCCTATATTTTTCTCCTCTATGAAATACTATACATCCACTCATTCAACATAATTTATTGAGTACCTAGTATGTGCCAGGTATTGTGGTAGGCTCTGTTTACACAATAATAACCTAAACAGTCCTGATCATGTCATCATGGAGTTAAGAGTCAAAATTCATTTGCTCCCTTAAATTTTAATAGACAAAATCATCTGGATCCAATCAAAAAGTACATTCCAGTACACCACCTAGTATTCAGAAATATTCATTCATTCACTTCTTCCTTCCACAAACATTTAATAAGAATCTATTATGAACCAAGCACTATTTTGGTTGTTAGTGAGACAACAATGAATAACACAAAGCTCCTTGATTTCATGAAACTAACATTCTAGTGGGAGAGCAGGGAAGACAATAAGCAAATACATAATATAAATTCTGATAGTGATAAATGTTATTTAAAAATTAAACAGGTAAAAAAAAAACCATACTGTTAGCAATGGTATTTATTGATTAGGGTAGTTAGGAAGGGCCTGTCTGAGGTGTGACCTTTGAGCAGAGTCCTACAGGAAGCAAAAAGCCCTAGAAGGGTATCAAGGAAAACGTTCCAGCCTCTGAGAAAAACAAATGTGTATGTACATCTGTAGTTTTAAAATATTTATGTTTCCATTGATTAAAAGATTTTCCAGATAGAGCAGAGAATTTACGTCATATACCCTTTCATTTGTTCCGAAAGTATTTGCTTGGTCTACTCTATATATGACACAATAAAAAAGCAATTATAAGGAAAATGGAAGGTTTCAATCCCAGATAGCCTAAAACCTGAATATAAGTAGAGAAAAACATTACAGGAAGAATGCTATATTCTCTCTCCCCAATCCCTCCCTTACACAAGACACAATCACAAGAGCATCTGGCTATTATTCATTCATGGTATCCAGAGAGGTGCTTGCTGATCTTTACTAGGTTTTTGAGGATGGTCTCAAATTCACTTTGTGTGGCATGTATCCTGATCCTCAATTTCAGAAATATGCTCAGAAAAGTAGGAACCGAACGGGCCTGACCGAACCAGTGGGAATGTGATGGGTGCCTGAATTAGAGCCCGGGGGTCCTGACTAGGAGACTGTGGCAAAGATGGTCAAAAAGAGCAGGCGAAGGAAAGGGAGTCTGCCAGGGGCAAGTGCTTTCTAATAGCACAATCTGGTCGTACCTCTGGATCTTACCTTCACTGAGATTCCGACCCGACAGGTTTAACTGGCCGCTCTTCCTCGCTGCCTTTAACAGCCCCTGCGGTACTGAAGCACCGAAGTCTCTCCTCTCAGCTCTGAAACCCACTCGGGTATCTCGCTCCGCCACTCCCTTCGGGCGCGACATGTTCAAACCCTTTAGTCCAGAAACAGAGCCATGCGCGTGACGTTTAAAGGTGGCGCCGGCGTGCTACCCCGCCCTGCCGTGAGCGCGCGCTCCGTGCGCTGTGCTCGTGGCCCGGCGACGGGCCTTCGCTCTCCGCGGCGCGGCCCCGATGTCGTCACCGTCAGTGCCTGGGCTGGAGCGTAGAGGAGCCCTTCCCGTTGCCGGTGCCGGCCTTGTGTCTTGCAGTTACTTCGCTCAAGTAAGTGCGTTAAACGGGCTGAGGAGGGGCTTTAAGGGTTTATTGTTTGTACTGTTACTGCGACTCCAGCCTTCTGTTCTGTGCTCCCGCCTTGGCGAGGGTGTCAGGGAAGGATAACCTCTCTTCTCGCCTGGCCTGAACGTGGGCCTTGACTAAAACTTGAGACCTGGGCGCGGTCTGCAGCCTCTCTGGACCCTAGAGTGTGTTTGTCGTTTGTGGTGGTGGCGCAGGACCTTCGTCCGGCGTAACAAGTAAAACAGATTTGTGTTCTTCGCGCGTATACCCGGACTCCTAGAATTAGAGCACCTTGCCTGCTGTTGTATTTAGTTTATGGTCCAGAATAGGAGGTAGTGTGAAATGGAAGGGCTGGCATCAGAGGAGAAAAAGAAAGCTTAATGGTAAATGTTCTCTCCACTGGACAGTGTACAGTACAGAGACAAGTGGAGACGCCGACTTTAGTGTAGCGAAAACAGCTTGGACTTTGAAGCCCAGGAGATGTGAGTTCGAATCCCAGCTGCTTCTGTATCTTACCAGCCGTGTAACTAACTAGGCAGTTTATTTGCCCGTTTTTAAAGCTTACTTCTTTTTAGTGAATTTAGGAATAATTCCTATCTCATTCGGTTTTGTTGTTCGTTTGTTTGTTGAAATAAGTGAAGATAGAGCTTTAAATATTGAGTGCTTGGTGAGGAAAGGGACTCCAGGATAGAAAATGAAGATTTTGTCCAATACGTCGGTTTTCCCGGGTAGTTAGTTTCTGTCTGAAATGTACACCTGTATTGATTCATTCGACAAATAATTAGGAATTCATCATCTTCAATACTGTGCTGGGTGCTAGACTTTTCTTTTGCCTGAAGTGATTTTGTTTTAAAAGGCATATACCGGGAAATATCCTCCTAACCCTCTATTAACTTGGGGATCGGTAGGATGTTTGAAAGGTAGGATGACGGCCCACTGACAGATTCTGCAGCCCAGAGTTTTGCCTGAGTCCAGGTTCTTGCTACCTGTAAAATTCGGTTTTTAACCCCCTCTCACTTTTACTTCTTGGTTCTTTAGAGTTCTTTACACTAAAAGTGAATAGCAGAAAACTACCAGTAGTTACACTACCAAGCAAGCAGAGTGGGTTTTAATGCAAGGACCCTAGTTTTTGCAAGGTCACTAATGAGCATCCTCCCCGCCCCAAGTTTATCTTGACAGTAATGATTATTTCCACCTTACTGAGGGGTAAGTGCCAGGCTCAGTGCTAATAATACCTCCTTTGCTATCTCTTATTCAGCGCAATAACCAATTTTGCAGGTGAAGAAATTGAGGCTGAAAGGGATTAAGGAACTTGCTGAATGAAGGTCACAAGTTTCTCTAAGTGGTATAGCCAAGAATATGAACCTAAGTCTCCGAAGTTTTTCTTGTTAATCATTATGATTTGCCTAGTGGCTTTTATTTCATCATTGTCAACGACTTTATCCTAGAACCATTTTAAGGGACACGTCAATTATGTTTTAAAAAGAGGGTTTTGTCTTTTTTTTAATTAGAGAAAAAAACTTTTCCTCTTTTGTAGGGTGTAACAGCCTACCTTTGGAGGATGAATTGCTCAAGTATTAAAGTTTACAGTAGCTACCCCTGCCCCATCATAGATTCCTTTTTTAGTTCAATATTTTTTAAAATAACAGCAAGGTATAATATTTTCATTTATTGTGCTTCTATTTGAAGTTAAATATTTTGTTATTGATGCTTAATTATAGTAAACATTGCATTTTGTAAAAGAGAAGCATAATTCTGTTTAATGGCGAAGTAATTCTGAAAATCCAAGTGACTATATACTTGTGGTAAACTTCAATAGATATGAACTGACATATATAAAAAATTTTACTAGTATATATCTGTAGTACACTGTATATTATACCTGTGTAGCAAGTGCTGATTAAGCAACTTGAATTGAGCTTCTTTAATGAGAGTATAGGTATATATACTTATATTTGTGGGACTTAGCACTCTGTATCAATTGTATTACTTAAGGAAGAATGCATTGCAGACAAAAAACCCAACCCTTTTTCAAGTTGAGCATTTCAGCAAAATTGTTTGCTTTAAAAAAAAATGGATTTTCTAAATAACATGAAACGGATGTCTCCTGTGCAGGGGCTGGAGTCTACTGCATAGCTACCTTTTGTAACAGAATTTGCCTAGCTACAATTTATTATATTCATTTTGTTAAAGTAATGAAAGGTTTCCCTTGTCTATCTTCTTTGCCAAATGAAAAAAGAAAGTGAAAAAACAAAAAATATATGAACCTAAGAATTACATCAGCCAAAAAATGCTGTTCTGTTTCATAACAGAAACTATTATCAAAGTAAGATAGAGTGGCTTACCTCTACCGTTACAGTTTAATAGGACATTTTCAAACATGTCTGTGTTACTCTTAGGAACATTGCTACATGTTATTTTTTCAAAGCTGAAAAGTACAGTTAAGATGGATTTATATAGGCAAATTGAGAAACGTAAAGAAAAATGGTATTTGTGCAAAATTTTTAAGCACATTTGTTTTAAAAATGTTATCAACTAAGAGCAAAGTGAATTTGCTTTGCAGACATTTCTAAGAAGTTTCTTTTTGTAAATTAACAGATTTAGATGTAGCCTGTTTTGAATTAGTATTATGTTTATCTTTCAGAATATTGCCTAATCAGTGGGAACTACTGTTTTATGGTAAAGTTATTTGAGAGAACATTTCACTTTTTAACGCTGTCATTATTGATTGGCATTATTGAACGTAACATATATTGCTTATTAATTGTTTTTTGAGTTGAATTTTTTACATTCTCATATACTTACTATTCAAAGTTTTCTCTATGTTTGTCCCTCTATCAATCAATAAATTGTTTTAAATGATTAAAATTGAGAACAAAATTATGTAGGACAGGGGCTCTCCATGTTTTGTTTTGTTTTTTAAGATTTTACTTATTTATTTGACAGAGAGACACAGCCAGAGAGGGAATACAAGCAAGGGGAGTGGGAGAGGGAGAAGCCTGCTTCTCCTGCAGAGCCTCCTGCAGAGCAGGGAGCCTGATGCGGGGCTCAATCCCAGGACCCTGGGATCATGACCTGAGCCGAAGGCAGACGCTTAATGACTGAGCCACCCAGGCGCCCCTCTCCATGTTTTAAATATTCAACTTTTCAGGTGTTTGTTACATGTCTTTTAGTTTCCTTTAAGAATTTCAGTTTGCAGTTTCACATGTTTTCCATTCATGCTATAACTACCAACTTTTAAAAAGTAGTTAGTAGGAAATATTCCATACTATTTCGTTGAAGGCAGTACATACTTTGCATTTTTATTCATAGTTTCATATGTGGCTTTGAATTGTACTTTGTTGTTAGTGAGTTGTGTGTGATATGTTTTTCTGATGGAGAGAATGCATTTTATTTTAGAATAGTTATTTGCATATTTTTTGTATGTTCTCTGTGCATCTCCTTTTTACCTTTTTTTTTTTTAAGATTTATTTATTTATTTGAGAGAGAGAGAGCACAATTGGGAGGGGCAGGGAGAGGGAGAATCTCAGGCAGGCTGTGCACTAAGTGGGGAACTCAACTTGAGCTGGATCTCATGACCCTGAGATCATGACCTGAGCTGAAACCAAGAGTTGGAAGCTTAACCATTGGTGCCCTTCGTTTTTACTTTTGAGTCATAAGGCAGTGAGCTTGCTCTAGGTAGTTTAATATTTGATTCAAATATTTTTCTGTGCTTTCAATACAAAAGAATTTCAGTCCACCAGTTTTGGGAAAATAATCATTTTCATTTCCTCTTTTGAAAAGGCTCTTATGGGGTGCCTGGGTGGCACGGTCAATTAAGCATCAGACTCTTGGTTTTGGCTCAGATCATGATCTCAGGGTCGTGAGATCAAGCCCTGTGTGGGGCTCCATGAGGAGTCTGGTTAAGACTCTCTCTCCTGGGTGCCAGGATGGCTCAGTCAGTTAAGTGTCTGCATTGGGCTTAGGTCATGATCCCGGGGTCCTGGAATGGAGCCCCGTGTCAGGCTCCTGGCTTAGTGGGGAACCTGCTTCTCCCTCTCCCTCTGCCCCGCCCCCCAGCTCACTCACTCTCTCTGCTCTCTCTCTCTCTCAAATAAATAAAATCTTAAAAAAAAAACCTCTTTCCCGCTCCCCCCTATAAAATAAATAAATCTTTTTAAAAATAAAATAAAACAAAATAAAATGGCTTCTACATGCTAGTGTTTTTCCTCTGAAGAAAAAGTGGAGGAACTAGTTAAAAAACATATTTTTTGAAACCTAATTATTATTAGTTTTATTTTTTAGTTATTTTCTTTCCATTGAAGAGAAAAAAAAGCTGAAATGGGTGGTTATAGAGCAGTCTTTTTATGTCATTAAATAAACGTTTATTGGCTTTTCTAAAATCAGCTGAGAATGTGTCCCATTATTCCCAGTGATTCCCACTCCTAACCTTTAAAAGCTGTTTTCTTGCTCATTTTCCCAAGATTAATGTTTCTCTGACTGAAAATATTAATTTTATAGGGTTTTGGAATTTGCCTGCTTTAAAGTAGTAAAGTAATACAAGAGAAAATTAGGGCACCAAACCCTAATGTACTTCATAATATCATCATTGTCTTTGTGTTTTGTTTTTTTTTTAATATTTTTATTTATTTATTTGTCAGAGAGAGAGAGAGAGAGCACAAGCAGCGGGAACAGCAGAGGGAGAGGGAGAAGCAGGCTCCTCACTGAGCAAGGAGCCCGATGCGGGACTCGATCCCAGGATCCTGGG